ATTACACTGGAAATAAAATTGACATCTGGATCTACAATGTTTCACATTGATTATCTCAGGACATAAAGTTGACATCAAGATCGATGAGATGATAAACAAGGACATTGGATTTGTAATCAGATTTTAGCCAAAATTTTACACTGTTACAGTGTTAATATTTTGAAATTATAATCTTTATTTATTAGAATAACTCAAATTAATCAAACATTTGTTTCACAAGATGTGGCAATCACGTGTGATGTATGTTGATTAAATAGTAAAAAATGAAACATCGCATTGTGTAGTAGGTGTGACAGATTATTATTACTTGAGCTTTTTTTGAATGATGCTGATGATAAACTTGTTATGAAATTATCTTTGATATTGTTAATAGCAGTTCTTTGATGTTTATGGGTTATAAATGGAGTTTTAAGGTAAGCAAAAGGTATCGTTTTTATTGTTTTTACTAATTTAATTAATAATAATCGGAATTTCTAATCTAATACAACATAGATATCGTATTGCCTGCAACGTCGGCGCTCTATACAATCAGGTATGTTTATTAATTATATCTTTCGGAGTTATTACAATAAAAATGTAAAGAGAAATATTAACGATGTTTTCGTGTTTAGGGAATTATCGGATTTTTCAAGGATTGGATTGAACTGTTTATTATTGCGGGTATTTAATTCTTTGATTTATTGTGTTAAAACTATATGTTTTTTATTAAAGGAAATTCCGCCACTTATATACTAAATTTCCAATAGGACAATTATGGCCAGTGAACAATAATGTCTAACGAATATTAATGGCCAGTGATCTTCATCACGCTAACTTAAATTTGTTAGCCGAATTTCTTACAATAAAATAATAATAATAATAATAATAAAATAATCATAAAAAAATGATAATAATAATAATAATAAAATAATAAGCAATACATATTTAGAAACGCTAATAATAAATGCTTAATAAACTAAAAAATAAAATAAAAAGAAAATAATAATTAATGCTTATTAAAACAAAAAAACCTAATATATCTTACGATATATATAATTATTAATGTAACAATGTTCTTATTCCTTGTATAATTCATAAATATTATTATTCGGTGACAAATATCGTTTGACGAAGCTATTGCTAATAAGAATATTAAATATGAATATAAAGTTTTGCAACATTTGAAGAAATATGGCGTTAAAATCTTTTTTTAAAAATTTTTAAACTACGATGATATCGTAAAAGAGATTGTTCAAAAAATCGATATGAGAACGTTTACAGTGAACTCAAGACTTGAATGGTGCTCCATTATATTTCAAATTAATATGGCTGGTCGACCAAATCGTCGCCAACTTTTACGCAACTCAAAATTCAACTAACTTTGCTCATCTTGAAAAACTGTTTCTGAACCATTTAAATTTACTTAGCATATAGTTCAACATTTTTTTTATAATATATTCTTTTTAAAATCATTTTACTCAAAACTGTAAATTATATCGAGATCAAAAAATAAAGATTTGATATTTTTGTTTAGTCAAAAATGTGATGCTGACGTTAACTACAACGCAAATTAAAGCCTATGCTCCTTTCCTTATTTAAAGTTACTAAATATAAAAGGTTCACATTTCCATAAAAAATCCACGAGAGAAATTAGTTGTATATATAGCAAGAAGGTCTCGATAGAAATTTGTAAATCATATATAATTGCTGTACAAGAATATTTTGTCTAATATGGCTAATTTGCAATGAAATAAATTTGGAAATTAAGTTAAACGACCTTATTGGATTAATGTGATAATATTTTTATAACAAATAATATAATCAATATAATCGGTTCACATTATTCATTAGTTGCTGAATTATATATTTTTTCGAAAATTAATGATCGTATAAGCATGAATAAAAAAACCGTGATTAATATAATAAGATAGTCAAAGAAACCAATATATAGAAACGATATATATGTAGTAACCAGCATAAAAGGATATACCATTTTAACACTTTAAGAGATGGAATAGTTATTTCAAAGGAATCCATGAATATCAATGAATTTCACGGCGCAGCCGTGAAAATCATGATATGGGGCCTTTGCAATAGAAAGGGGGAAACTACCGGGAAAAATCAAATTTACTTTTACATGCCAAATATGATTTTTAGGCCAAAATATGTTCAAATTTAGCATTAACTAATTTTTTATTTTTCCGGCCGTTTCCCCTTTCCATTGCAAAGGCCCCATATTCATGCAAATTCTTGTGTTTTATCCTTGGAGACTAACGGCCCTTGACTTTTTTAAAAAAAAGTTTATTTTGCTATTTTTATCCATAATTTACTATGAAAATAACTAATCCTTGCTTTAACCGTGACGAAAAAATATTGAAAAATGCCAACATCTTGTTTCACTGTTTTTGCTTTATATTTACTTAAATTTTTCTTTTTAAATATTTGTGCAATATATTTGTTGCTTCACAAATTTGGAATCTGTAATATTTTCAAGAGTAACATAGTAACAATATTCTTCAAATTGTGCAACCCAATTTTGAGTTGACTTTTCAGTATTTCTAACTATAGCTTTGTTCCGATAAAAATTAATTTTTTCTTGAATTTCAGAAAAGTAGAAATTGAAACTTCAGAAATTTTGTGAGAAAGATGAAGAGCACTTGCACTAGTAAAAAGTATTTTGTTGTTTTTATTAACGAGTTGATGTTGATAATACTATTCGTCATTTATTAAAAATTTCACCAATTACTGATGATTTTCCATAGTGAAAAATAAAATTCAATAGCACAATCAAGTTCAAGATTGAATACTAATAATACATCATCCGATGAATTTTCTTCTGACGATATTCAAAAGAAATTACCCATCATTAATAAATGTCTATTTAATAATGTAACTTTTAAACTATAAATATTATTTTTTTATATGTGGCATAAATAAATATAATAATAATTAGTAACAAGTCATATTAAAATGATCTGCATTTGACATTTTAAATATCACTGAAAATCACGGGCGGGCATTATCGTTATGGTATACTATACAAGTTATCCTGCGGAACACTTAAAATTTTAATTTAGCTTAGAAAAAATAAAGGCGTCGAGCTTTGAGACTGATTTTTTAAAAAATCACATCCTTTAAGTCTTTCTTTTTCAAATTATATCGTTTTAGATAGTTTCCGGTCCGGTTCGCTCTTTCAAATTACAACGATGGAATATTTTTTTAACCTTTAGTCTTTATCTAATCTATTTTTCCTTAAAATTTTATTTCATTATTAGTTCTTTTAAAATTCGTGATGAAGGGTCGGTTTCGCTCTTAAGTAATTAGACATTTATTTTTATTTTCATTATTCATTAATAATTTTTAATTTTAGATAAGTTAATTTCTTTTTTGATTAGCTGCATATGTATAAATTTTTTTTTTTAGAAAATTTCGGGTTCAATCATTTTAATTTAGTAATTTTTTTTTTGTTTTCATTTTTTTGGATCTGATCGTTTCAAGGCCTTTTCTTTGATTCCTCTTGGAGTTAACGCAAGGTAAGGTATGGTTTGTTTTTTTATTTTTATAGTTATTTGTTAGATTGCTTCGGGCACACCGAACAATTTCGATTACTTGCACCCTTTCATTTCTCTAGGTTCCTCTGAGGCAGGATCCACAAAAAAATTTTTTTGAATATTTCATTTAATTATTTTTTATGTTTTATTTCTTTTATTAAGCGATACATAGCGATAGGTAATGTTTTTTTAAACTAAATTTCTCAACATTTTTTTTTTTAGTCGCTGCAAGCAATACTTCAGAAATGAGCACTGTACTGTAAGTATTTATATGTTTTTCATTTCATTTTATTTATTAGGTTAGTAACGTTAAAATAGGTTTCAGAGATTTTCTTAACTTATAATTATAATGATGCAATAATTAACCTGAGTAAACAACTTTAAAAATTTTTTCATGAGTAAATAATTAAATGTACAAATAATACCGTAAATATCAAAACCTTCAATTATTGACGTCTATCACATATTTAAATATATAAATATTTCATTTAATTACCTTTAGCTAGAAATTTCTAATTCATGTAATTGAGAATCTTGAAATATTAAAATGCATAAAAGTTAATATTTATATTTTATTATTGAAAATCAAATTTAGATAATACCTTCAGTATTTTCATCATTTTCAAGATATGATGTAATAATAGACGAATTAATAGGTTTTGTCAAATTTTTAAACGCAAATGCTCTACTCGTATATACAGCGTCAGGATTTGTTTTCCGTGAAATTATAATATTTGGTATATCTTTATCAGCTTCTTTAAATGCTTCGTTTATTTCTTTTCCATTATATCCATGTTTTTTAGTATCTCTATAGTCCAAATAATAGTAAATAGAATTATACCAAAAAAGCAATATATCCCTCAACTCTTCGGCTGTTGGTCTTTGATTTGGATTTGCATTCATACACCTATAAGCTAATTTCTTATAAACTTCAGGAGTTCCTTTTCCAAATTCTGTACGAAGTCCATTACAAATATATAAGGCTAAAGACACATCATGTTTCCTATCATAAAAGGGAGGATTTCCGGTTGATAATTCAGTCATAATTACACCAAAACTGTAGATATCAGAAGCTAACGTATATGTTCCTCCATTCAAGACTTCTGGAGCGATATATGGTAATACTCCATATATTTTGTCATTAGATATTTGCTTATCTGCTGGTCCTGTTAATCCAAAATCTGAAACGTAAGGAAAGGTTTTATCTAGCAATATATTTCCACTATGAAAATCCTTATGACAATATCCTAAATTTTGTAAAGTAGTAAGGTCAGTAGTAATATGATATAATTTTAGAATTTTTTCTTTCCATAAAATATTGTTAAAATTATTTGAAAGATAACTTCTCAAATTTCCATTAGGTAAAAATTCTAATATCATAATAATTTTTTTGGTTTCTGGATCCTTAGTTATTCCATAAAGCACTAATGAATTAGATTCTTTTTTATAAATATTCCAATGTGTTTTAAGCTGATTTTTTAAATAAAAATTTAAGAAAATTATACTATTTAATAAATATCAAATTTAAATGTAAATTAAAATACCTCATTAAAATAATTGGCCGACATATTTTGAGATCCATTTAATCTTTTCAAAGCAACCTTCATAGGTTCAGGATCCAATTTTTTCCAACTTCCATCATCTTGTTTTTTAAATTCCGATGCACCATCGATCCATGTTGCAGAATACATTTTGGCGAATCCTCCTTCACCAATTTCTTTCATATCTGTGAATCTATCAAGAGACACCCATTCAAGAAATCTTGGATAATTTTTATGTCTTGCATCATACATAGTATCTTTGATGAATTTATCGATATCAGAATTTCCACTAGTCCATCCTTCAATTATACACCAAGGGTCACATTCTTTACACCATAATTTCTCTGTAAATGGTTCATCACAATAAGAACATTTATTATTTTTTGAGAAATCTAATTTGTTGAATTCAGATTCTTTTAAGTCTTGAACTTCATTTTCATGGCAATTTACATCCATTATTTTTTTTTATAAAAAAAGAAAAAAAATTTCTTCTGTAAATTCAAATAAAGGACATAAAAGGAATTATCATGACCAAATTTGGATCAGCGGAAAATATTTTCTGAACAAATCAAATGATCGCATACTACGGTTTGGCTAACTTTTTATAACTTTACCTTATTTAGTTTTTTATATATTTTTTGTATTACGCACGCAAATATAACGCAAATATATCTTGTATTACACATATAAAGACAAAATGGACTTTCCGCCACTTTTTTTTTTAAAATAAGAAGTGTATACTAACTAGAATCAGTAGAAAAGCTCCAAATCCTAATAATACCAGTTTTAATATATATTTCAAATCTTCATAATTATAACCATTATTTTTATTTTTAATCGCCATAAAAGAGAATGATGCAAATCAATAACTAGAAAAGAAGGTTGGATTATTTTTTGGCATTGATTTGGTCAAAAATAATTTTTAAAAAATTTATACGAACGTAATGTTAACAAATAGCACTTGCTAAATTGGAATATATAAACGAAAATCAAACACCATCTTGAAACGTAACTAATAATAACTTATAGCACGAGGGGAGGCCAATATCACTTTTTTTCACATGGATTAATGATCGGTTAAATTTTGCCACCGACGTTGGCAAAATTTTAGCCAACATTCATTAATCCATGTGAAAAAAAAGTGATATTGCTCTCGTACTATAATATTATTATCGTTCGGCCTGACCATAAAAAAAGTTAAATATAAAGGTTTATTTTAAATAATAAATTATTTTAATTTAAACTACTTTTCACCCTTTGTTCTTAAAAGAACCGCCTCAAAGAAAGGCTAAAATTTTGCATTGATAAAATTTAAAATTTAATTTTGTTGTACTTTTATTATTAATTAGAGAAAGATAAAATTTGTTTGAAATACCATTCAACAAGCCGAACATGATATATCAACAATTAATTCAATCAATACTTGGATATTGCTTTTCAGCATGATTTACAATTACCAGGTAAATATAAAGGTAGGTTTCAAGTTTAATTATAAATTTAATTACTAGGAATATCAAAATTTTCAATTATCATTATTAGAAATACCAACTCGCAACCATCAATTCAAGAGAACATCGCATTCAATTTCAAGAAATTAAAGGTTCACAAAATATACAATTGGATGAAGACTATCAAAACATTCTTACAAGAAAATACTTTTAATAATTGTTTAATATAAATCATTTAAAATGTATACTATAATAGTATAAACAATATGATAATAGTTTATCTAATAATATAAACTTTACAATAAAATTATGACACGTTATGGTCATATGTAACCGTACGATAATTCATGATATTAATCTATGCTCATTAACATTTGTGCAAAGAAGTAGAAAGCTAAAGTTTACCTTCTTTAAGATGATGACTTTGAAAATGAAATGTGAGAAGACAGGGTGGTGCCTATACAGTTTTTATACCAATAATCCATATAAATAAAACTTCCGCACAAAAAAATAATATATCGCATCACAAAAATCTGTATCAACAGATGCTTATTCCCAATAATTGCGTGAAAAATCAAAAGAAGTGTTAACAACATTTTTACGTTATAAACTTCAAATGGCAAGATTGAATAGCAAAGATAAAACATTGATAATATAAAAAATTAATCATCTGAAAAAGTCCGAAATACAAACATAAAAATCATTTTTTTTGATCATTCCCAGTTTGGCATATTTTCCGCATAGTCATTTAGTACGAATATCGAATGATTCAAAATATTTTCATGTAGAAAATATTTTATTTATTATTATATTATAATTACTGTATTAACATACAGTTTAGCTTTACAGGTATAAAATGAACCAACAAATATTTAACGCTAATTTTATTTAATTTAGTGAGGTATATAAATTGGGAAGTTACACCAAGAAAGAATTAATTATTCTTATTAACTTGTTTTTTAAAAAAAAATTGGTTGAAATTCCATTGAGATGTGAAAATTTAATACGGTTTTTTAGAATAAACGAAACCTAACTTTGATAGGCATATCGTTTCTATGAATAGATTTTATGAATTAATTGTTTAAGGGAAATTCTATATTAATGACATTGATTGGTGTTAAATATTCGGATGGAGGTGCGGTCTAAAATTTTTTCCAGGAAAGATAAATAGAGATATGCATTCCAACAATATATATATACGTCAAATTCGTAAAAATTAACACATTTTGATTTATTTTCTATATATCGATACTGATCCCAATTTTTATTTAATTTAATATTCTATTTTTTAATCTAGCAGCTTCTAATAATACTTTAAACTAATTTAGCATTACAAAAAATTAAAATAACTTATAAAGGGATAGTGAAATTATTAAGAACTTCAATAATCATTAGTTTTTCTTTAACTTGATCATAACTTAATTTAAAATCAACTAAATTATTTATTTAAAAATAAAAATAATTAATAATATATTGGATTATAAGTAAAAAGTAAAATAAATACTGAAATCAATAAAACAACAAAAAAACAACTTACCATCTATTATTAAAATAATTTATTTTTTTAAATAAAAAATTTAGTAAAGTAAAATGTATAATTATATATTAATAATTAAATAAAAATTCTTATGATCATTAATTATAAATTAAGTTTTTAAATATAAAATTTAGTTAGTATATATTACATAAAGTTTAAATAAATATTTATAATCAATAAAAATAGCTTACCATCTATTATATTATTAATTAATAATTATTTTTTTTAAATAAAAAATTTAGTTAAGTTTAAATTACAGTAAAAGTAGAATTAAATACTTATAATCAATAAAAATAACTTATACCCTTTAGTAATATGTTTGATTTTTAAATAAAAAATTTATTAAGTTTAAATTATAGTAAAGTAAAAATAAATAATAAAATAACTTGCTATTTATTATATTATTAATTATTGATTGTTTTTTTAAATAAAAATTTAGTTAAGTTTAAATAATAGTAAAAATTAAAATTAAATACTAAATACTTATAAACTAATAAATTAATTTATTTAAATATAAAATATAGTTGAGTTTAAATTATAAAATAACTTATTTCATTTAGTAGCATTTTATTTAAAATAAAAAATTTAGTTAAATTTAAATTATAATAAAAAGTATAATTAAATACTGATAAATAATAAAAATAATTTATACACTTTAATAGTATTTTTAATTTTTTAATAAAATATTTAATTGAGTTTAAATTATAGTTAAATATAAATAAATACTAATAATTAATAAAAATAACTTACAGGCCATAAATTTTAATTATTTTTTTAAAATAATAAATTTAATTAAGTTTAAATTACAATAAAAATTATAAATAAATACTAATAATAATAAATATAACTTACATTATTTATTGGTATTTTTTATTTTTTTAATAAAAAATATAGTTAAGTAAATATATAATAAAAATAACTTACCTCCCTTTAATAGAATTTTTATTTTAAATAAAAATTTAATTGTGTTTAAAATAATAAAAAATGTTTCAAATACTATTAATTAATAAAAATAACTTATAATCTAAAAGATCAATTGTATTATAAATAAAAATTTAGTTGATTTATATTACTATAAAAAGTATAATTAAATATTAAAATAACTTGTAATATAAAAAATTAATTTTTAAATTAAAAAATTTTAGTTAAGTTTAAATTATAGTAAAATACTAATAATTAAAAATATAACTTACTTCCTTTAGTAGTATTTTATTTTAAATAAAAAATTTAATTAAGATTAAAATACTATAAAAAGTATAATTAAATACAAATAATCAATAAAAATAATTTACCATCAATTATATTATTAATTATTATTTTTTTAGAAAATTCAGTTGCTTAAATTATAATAAAAAGTATTCCTATAAGAAATCAAAATAAGGAAATGATACGTATTTTATAAGGTTTGTATATGTAATTAATAATTCTATATCAAAATTCTGTATGTTTTATAATGATTTATTTTTTTATAATTTTTTAAAAAATTAATGTATACAGAAT